GTCAGGGGCATGGTCACAGGACAATATGGGAATACCTAGGAGAGGTGTCTATCTTCACCAGAGGTGTCAAGGAAATTTTCCAGAGGAGGTAACATCTATTCTGAGCCAGACTGGTGTCATAGTTTGTGGAGTCCAGTGCAAAATGAAAATGCATATCATATGTTCAGAAACTATGAAGACTTTCAAGATGGTGATCAAAGAGCATTACTAATGGAACAGACTGCAAACCCAAAATGGGTAAATTCCAAACTATTGTTTAACAAAACAAACTCAGCCTAGACATTGATGGTATTTATTTCTTTTGAGGTATTATTATTATTATTATCCAAGTAAAATCTGTGGGTCTAAGAGAGTATATTGAAATCTATTTGGTGTGGCTGTAACAAGTTTGGAGGAATCACAGGATATTAGAATGAGGCAAGAGAATGTTTATTATTTATTGCATTTCCCCCAGAGAAGGAGTTTCTGGGAACTTCAAGGAATATTTAATACTCTCTCCAGAAACCTGTGTCTCTGAAAGAAATACTTTTCATAAGTGACAAAAAGCAAGTTTTAGTATGTTTCATGCAAGATCAGAAACCCTACCTATTGGTTACAAAAGGCAGAGAACATGGCCTCTATGGAATATTGTGTTATTATCTACGCTCACTGCATGCTGTAGGAGTTTTATACGTGCCTGTACGAAGCCATACAATTTACAGTGCCTCTCTGCAGAAGTCTACCTACTTTTCCCATTCATATCAAGCTTGATCATGTGACTTGCTTTGGCCAGTGGAGTGAGAGGAAATGATGTATGCCTTGTTTGAGCAGAAGTTCTGGGCAGTCTTTAAGGTCCATAACAGTTTGGCATGCTCTTTTTTCCCACTGTCATGAGTCCAGCATGCTCTCCACCTCCATGGACAATTTCTTCTAATTAGATCCTGAATAAAGAAGCCACATGGAGCCACAGCCAACACATGAAATGAATGAGAAATAGATCTTAGTTGTGGAAAAGCCACAACTTAGGGGTTATTAATGACCGTAAACGGGTGAGAGCTACATGGTGTCTTACTTTTAATAGGGCAGTGTTCACGCATACAGTATTTGCCAAAAGGATATTCATTGATCGTAGGCCATGGGGAGTGATGTTGGTTTAATAAAGATGATTACATAGGTTCTTCCAGAGGTGGATACACTGTGAATTCTGCCAGTGGTGATCAGATCAGCTGGGAAATCAAGCTGATGCAGGAAGAGCCTCTGATGTCTAACACTCCTGTCCTTGCTTTCCCACTTGACCCAGCTCTCGTCTACTTGGCTTTGGATAAATTACTTAGCATCAGTTTCCCAATCTGTAAATTTGGATTAAGACTATTTTTTTTTTTAGGTTGATGGCCAGAATCTGTTTCTACCTATTTCTTTTATATCAACACCTCTTTCCCATTCAGTTTTCTCCCTCTGATTCAATCAGTTTTTTACTTTGTCTATCATTTTTACTATAAGAGATGCAGAGGATCAGGGTATGGTGGCATATGTCTGTAATTGCATCACTCAGGAGGCTGAGGCAGGAGGATCTTGACTTTGAGACCAGCCTGGCCTACACTGTGACACTTGGTCTAAAAAAAAAAAAAAGAAGAGAAAAGAAAATAAACAGAGGGTTCTGGCTTTAGCTCAGCAGTGGAGTGCTTGCCTAGCATGTGGAAGGCCCCAGGCTCAATTCCCAGTTGGGGAATTGAAAAGAAATAGTATATTTGCAGATTGGTGTTGAGCTTCTCTTTGTTTCTCTCTAAGTACCTATTCTCTTACCTTTTTCCTCAAAGACAACCATTCTCCTATATGCTATATCTTTACTTTTTTTTTTTTAGTACCAGGAATTGAACTCAGGACCTTGCACTTGTGAGGCAGGTGCTGGAACCACTGAGCTAAATCCCTGGCCCTACCATATCTTTACTTTGATAATCCCAATACAGAAACATGTAACTTCTATATTAGTGTATATGTTGGATATATATACGTGCATATAAAATGATAAAAATATATAGCCAGGCCTGGTGATGCACATCTGTAATCTCAGCACTCGGAAGGCAGAGGTAGGAGGATCGTCATGAGTTCGAGGCCAGCCAGGGCCACACAGTGAGTTTAAGGCCAGTGTGAATTACATAGCAAGACCCTGTGTCAACCCCCCCTCCCTAAATGACGAAAATATATATCTCCATATTCTTTACACAGAACAATTTTAGGATAAAAGAATTAGTAAAGCATTACATTTCTTAGAAAGAAATTGATGGGGCAAAGCAGCTACATTTCTCCGCATGAAGTTTGTATTTCCTTTATGTAATTTGCCAAATTTTTCTAATTGTCACTATAGGTCAGGACCTGTAGTAGGAATTGGGGACCAAGAGGAACAGGACAGAAAACAGCATGTCCTCTTTGTTTAGCTCCTAGTGGGAGGAGGCAGACAATAAACTAGCAAATAAATAGACCAACACAAGAACGGGCCAAAAAAAACCATTAAGTAAGGGTCCTTCAGAGACCTGTTTAATGAATGGAGAAGACTGATCATTAACTTACAGCTATTTCAAGGAAGGGACATAACATTTATTGAGGACCTGCTAAGTTCAGCTAGTTTATCTGTCTTTTTCCAATTAATTTTTATAGTAATCCTTTGGGTAGGGGCACTTTTTAGGTAAAAAAAAATCAAAGTTCACAATAGTCAACTAACTTCTCCACGATTACCCATCTGGTAAAGTGAAGCATGAACTTTTAATGTGTACCTACTACTGCTTCCTTCAGCCTAATGAGCTTTTAAGCAGGAGAAACTTGTATCTTTCTATCCTCAGCCCTATATATATTTTAAAATGGTAAATGATTTTATCTTAGAATAAAGTGAAACCTCAGCTTTGTCTTCCCCTTAAAGGTAGAATTTTCTCATAAACAGAGCATTGGAGTTAAGTTCTGGAAAACCATCTTCCAACTGCTCTCCTGTTGCTTGATAGCTGTGTGATTTCTACCAAGTGACTCAAGTTCCCCCAGCCCCTGCCCTCATCTGTGAAAGGAGAGAGCTCTGGCATTAAGGTTTTATGATCCCTAGTTTTTTTGTTTTTTTTTTGGTACCAGGGATCGAACTCTGGTCCTTGCGCTTGTGCAGCAGGCAGAAACCACTGAGCTAAATCCCAGGCCCCTGATCCCTAGTTTTGAATGAGTGGGGTCTGGCTTGGTGAATTTTACTATACTTTGCACACTGCTATCAATTCTTTCTCTGATGTGCATAAGGGTTTGTGTAACTTGGTTACTTCCTCTCAGAGTCCTGCAGAGCTAAAGCCTGAACCCCTCATCTGGGGTGTCTGCCTTCCTCTGCATCTCACCGTGGTGCCAGAGCAGTTTGCCTGTAGTGTGCCTCTGCCCTTGAGGGTGCAGGGGGCTCAGAGTGACTTCAAAGGCTGCTGGACAGAGGAAGAAACACCAGGGAAGTATCATTTTCCTTTTCTTCAGCTGTCTGGATGAATACAGCTGAGACAGTACAGTTCAGGAGGACAAAAACACTCTGGAAGAAACCTTGAAAGTGATTCAATTTCAAGTCACAAGATCAATTATTCAAGGTTCTAGAACACAGATACTATCACAGCAGATCTGTGGCACAGGTTCAGAGGGTGATTCAGAATGTCTTTTTCCGTGGACATTAAAGCTCATTACCTGAAAATTACTCAGCCTTGGTCTTTAGGGAAATCTTAAGTGCCCAGCCCAAATGCCATAATGCTATTGAAACACCAAGATCTCATGATTATAAACACTGTTGAAAGAGAAAGGGCTCTTGTCTGGCTCAGACCTCGTCGGTATGATCATTTCCAACACAGAGGGCATCTCTAGGTGACTATATGTCTGTTGTATAAGGGATCTATCTATAGATCCTGTAGGCTTAAATTATCTCAAGAAAACTAGGCAGCCGGTGAAAGAAAAGAAAATGTATTCTCACTTTTAATGCTCCTGACTGTAAACAATCTCTGGTGGAATGAAATTCACTTGATGATAATTTTTATTCTTGCTGGCAAACTAGCAACATTAAATCCTACCTCATAGGTGTGATATGGGTAGCATGAAATCATATAGACCAAGGCCTCACCGGGTGCTTGGCGTGGAGTGCAGTGGATGCCGGTCTCCCCTCACACCTTACTCATCACATACCTATGTGATGGCTGAGAGGCGTCATGCTCTGAGCCTTACCAGCCATGTGGGGAAGTGTTTGAACTTGCCCTCGACAAGTGTGTGGTTTAGCAAGGACCATAGAAGCATAAACAGACAACTGGTGGTGGGTTAGAGGAGTCCAAGAAGCACTACCTTTTCTTGGCCAAGTGGGGACAAGGAGACTGAAGGCTCGAGGAGTCAGTGATTCTGGGCTTGGAGGACCTGCTGAGGGGACAGGGGAGAGAAGATGAATAGAGCACCAGTAATGTTTGTTTTCAATTTAATTCGAAGGGCTAAAAAAATAGCTGACATCAATATGGATGCCTCCTTATTGGCTGATTTATTTGGTTCTCAAACCCTGGCTTTGTGTCAGAATCACCTATTTGACCAATAACTGGCTCTTTCTATCAGGAATTCTAGTGGAAGGGTTTGGTATGAAGTCCAGATATCTCCGTTTACACCTCCAGGCCAAGCATGGTGGTCCACACCTATAGTCCTGGCACTCTGAGAGACTGAGGGCAGGAGGACTGCAAGCATAAGTTTAGCCAGAGCAGTGCTGTCTTGAAATAAATTTAAAAAGGGCCGGGGATGTAGCTCAGTACAAAGCCGTGGGTTCAGTCTCTAGTACCACAAAAACCAAAACAGAACAACAAACAAAAAACCCTCCATAGATCATTCTTCAAGAATTCAGGATTTGAATTCACAATGTTAATTAAGCAATGATGGACTCTGTTAATATTTAAAAATGCAATACTTTTCAAAAAGGATCAGTGCTGATCTCATGATACCTCTTTGTGAAAAAAGTCCCTTAGATTTGACCTTTTTTTTTTTTTCCAAAACAGAGATAAAAGAAGCTGAAGGGAGTAGACAAATAAAAAGGTAAACCCTTTTCCTTTTGTATTAGGTTTTGTAGAAATGATTTTGAAGATTTTTTTTTTTGCTTCTCTTTGCTCTATACTTTGTATAGTCAAAGCCAAGCCATGTTTGAAATGTTCCCTAGAAACACACGCATGTGACTAAAATAGATTCCCTGCAGATTTACCTAATTTTAGTGAGGGCCTGTTACATACAATGAACTCTGCTGGGCAATTTCACTTACATTTTCTCAGATGAAGAAGTTAGACCATAAATGTGGTAGGGTTGGCAAAGACATGGTGAATGGGTAAGAACGTTTCAGGACCATGACTGAATGAACATGTATCTCCTCCTCACACCTGACCCTGGGGAAGACTCTGTGGTGCTCAAGCATGTTCATACATGTTCACTCATTAATTCAATTTCTGTGAATTATCTTAAGGAAATAGTTATTAAAAGTGATATATTATAGGTAAGAAGAGAATAATTACTGTATTTGCAAAATATGGCAATATCTGGAAATGACGTAATTATTAATCATTAAGAAAATGAGAGGTAAGTTATTGCATAACAACTTCATTACATGTTCAACACAAGAAACTGATTATTAAAGCACCTATGTGGGAACAGGGAAAATGCTTAAGACAAAAAGCCAAATGAAGAAACATATGGCAAGATGCTGTATAAAAGTTACCACTAATACTGACAGGCAGTGTGAAGATGGAGGGAGGCTTTCGGGTTGGGGAGGTAGAGTTTTGAGTGTTTTCTCTTGCAGATGTGGTGGGTGGACATTGATTTGGTCTTGCCAGCATCCTTTGCCACTTAATGTGGACCCAAGAGCAAAAGACACCTGTTGCTCCTGGACAATGAGTTGGATGCCCTTTACCTGGCATTGTCAGTGGCTTTGTTCTTATTCCTTCTGCACAAAACAGTCTTACGGGAAGTAAGAGACAGTACAAAACTAAGCCAGACCAGAACTCACAGGGATGGACAGGTAGGGCAAGGGATCAGTGGGTGGGGAGACCCACCCAAAGTCTTGGAACCCTTGCAATAAGCTTCTAAGTTTGACATTTACATGAGCCCACAGAACCCTTTCTTATTCGAGTTAATGTTATACTCGTTACAGTTGAAAGAATTCTGACAATAGAACTTATTTAACTTTAACATTTTTGTTCTGTTAGAACCTGCCAAGGTTGTTTGTTTTTAAATAAATCTTTTTTACTTTCTGAAATACTGGAACATTTTGTGCTGTGTGTAGAGTCTGCATTTGTGAGTCATTTCCCATTAAATTACTGATAGAATTTTGGTCCCTATTAAACTGTCATTTCCTCTCTTGTCTTTCTCAGCTTTTCCTGAAACATCAGCCACGTTAACCACATCCTGCTCTGACAGTAGCCAGCCTGAGAATGTTTTGGGAAGGGTAGTGTGAACCACGAGGTGAATTTAAATCTGTGCAAGGCAGGAACATATGGAGCATCTGAATCAGTTTACAAACATTAACTGAGTGCCTAATATGTACCAGGCACTTGGTCTACAGTGATGATAAAAGTAGACACAACCTTAGCATGATTCCTTAACATGGTTCTTCAATTCTTTAACATGCTCACTTCTGGCAGGGGGCATGTGTGCATTCACTAGAGGTGAGAGAGTCTAGTCTGGTAGTTTGTTTAGTACTCACTAATTCTATACAAAGGGAACAAGATAATAGATAACATTTATTGAACTTTTGCTGTGTGCTACACCTAACTTACACATTAGTTACTATCTTATTTTACCAGATGAGGAAACAGATACAATGAGAATATTTATTTAATGTGCCCAAGATTGCAGAGCTAAGAGGTGGCCAAGGTGAATTTAACTTGAGGCAGTCTGGCTCCTTAGCATTGGATAATGTTGCTTGCACAATATTATAATAAATCTGCTCAGAAATGCTGGATCTGGTACTTAAAACCACTTTTTAAATTTTTTGAAAAATATTTATTAAGTTATATCTTTGATGGTGACGTATATGGCCAGCATGAGATGGAAAGAGATGCCCTCTTCAACGTGTGCTTTATGTACTTTTAGTCATAGAGAAAAATGCTCTGGAAAAAACCTCTCATTCATTCCTTCATCTATTCAACAGATTATTGAGCTGGCTGCTGTTAGGCATATTTTGTAGAAAACCCTGAGTTTGTAAAGGTAGATAGAAAAGAAACAAATCTTTAAAGCATAGCACAGTGTGCAAGTCCTTTAACAAAAGAATTACAGAAGCCCTGTGAGAGTATTAAGAAGGGGAGGGAAAGGGAGGATATGAAGATATTTGAAATGGGTGACAAGTTGAGCACTGAAAAGTAAGTAGAAATTCTTCAGTGGACACTGGGGCCAGGTAGGCTCAGTGGTGTGGGAAAGGAGTTGCAGGGGAGGCTGTTCTTAAACTCACTCAAGGGATTCTGAATTTAGGACTAGGCATATAGGTTGTGCAAGCCAAAGGAAAGTGTAGGGAATTCTCTTCAAGGTCAGGGCTACAGAGCCTCTTTCAGCTGCACACATGTGACAGTAAAAATAACCTGAACAAGAGGCCAGGGATTTAGCTCAGTGGTCCCGCCGACTGCCTTGCAAGCTCAAGGACCCGAGTTCAATCCCTGGTACCAAAAAAAAAAAAAATAACCTGAGCACATCACCTTTAAATATGGAGTTAATTGTTCATATGGGTATGCATTTATTTATATAGCTGTACTATCTAATTTATTATATCCCTATAAAATACACAAAGATGGAATCAAATGGATAAAATTTAAAGCTACATTTTTATTTTTGGTCCTGCAAAAATTTTCTTAATGCTGAGGATTTAGCTCAGTGGCACCACACTTGCCTGGCAAGCTCAAGGTCATGAGTTCCATCCCCAGGACCAGAAAAAATTTTTTTTTTCTTGAACATTAGAATGAATGATGTGTTTGAAATGCTTATATCTTTGCAAACTTTGCTTTAACACTTTGTGGTCTGTTATTATAAACGACATGTTCTAAGGTCAGTTTTTCTGATTTCTAATTTTAATCAAAATAAGACGCTTCTCTACTAAGATCGAAGTGGATTAAAGATCTAAATATTAAGACAGAAACACTAAACTTGCTGGAAATGAGTTAGGTAGAACTCTTGAACACATTGGCATAGGAAAAGACTTTATGAACAAATCCTCAGTAGCACTGGAGCTGGCACAAAGAATCAACAACTGGGATCTCATCTTATTAAAAAGCTTCTGCACTGCAAGAGAAACCACCAACAGAGCTAAGAGACAACCTCCAATGTGAGAAAACACTTTTAGCAGCTGCACCTCAGACAAAGGTCTACTATCGAGGATATATAAAGAATTGAAAATAATCAGACCCCCCAAATTCAAAGATGCAATTCAAAAATGGGCATCTGAAATGAACAGACATTTCTCAGACAAAAAAAATAAAAGCATCTAATAAATATATGAAAAAATGTTCAACATCACTGGTCATTCGAGAGATGCAGATGAAACAACACTGAGATTCCACCTCACCCCAGAAAGAATGGCTGCTATCAAGAAATCAACAAGTAACAAATGCTGGCAAGGGTGTGGAGAGAAAGGAACCCTTCTCCATTGTTGGTGGGAGTGTAGACTGGTGCAACCACTGTGGAAATCAGTACGGAGATACCTCAAAGAACTAGGGCTAGAGGTCCCATTTGACCCAGCTATTCCCCTGCTGGGGATCTTCCCCAAAGAATTAAAAGAATCTTACCACAGCGATATATGTGCGCCCATGTTCATAGCAGCACAGTTTGTAATAGCTAAAGCTTGGAAACAGCCCAAGTGGTCATCAACTGGAACCTGAATAAAGAAGATGTGGTTTTTTAACAAAATGGAGTACTACTCAGCCATAAAGAACGAGAAACCCTAAGTAGTAGAATATATTTTTTTTTTGGTACCAGGGATCAAACTCGGGTCCTTGCGCTTGCACAGCAGGTGGCGAGACTACTGAGCTAAATCCCCGGCCCCTACTATACTATTTTTTATCACTGTCGCTTTGTATTATAACTTGAAATTTGGGATTGTGATGCCTTCTGCTTTACTCTTGTTACTCAGGGTTGCTTTTGCTACCGATTCCATATGGATTTTAGGATTGTTTTTTCTGTATCTGTGAGGAATGCTATTGCTATTATGATTGGGGTTGCATTAAATCTGTGTATCAGTTTTGGGATTTTCGTCATTTTGACAATACTGGTGCTTCCTGGCCAGGAAGAGGGGATATCTTTTATTTTCTGACATCCTCTTTGTTCTCCTTTTTCAGAGTTCTTTAGTTTTCCTTAGAGAAGTCTTTCACTTCCTTGCTTAGGTTAACTCCTAAGTATTTCATTTTTCTCAATACTATTGTGAAAGATATTTTCCCTCTAATTTCTCTCTCAGTGAGTTGATTATTGGTGTATAGGAACACTATTGATTTTTGTGTGTTGATTTTGTATCCTGCTACATTGCTGAGTTTGTTTATTAATTCCCTAACTCTTTTTATGGAAGTTTTTGGTTCTTCTATGTAAAGAATCATGTTGGACTAGTATATCCTGCAAAACTATCTTTTAAAATTGATGGAAGAATAAGGACATTCCATGACAAAAATCACCCTAAGAGATACATGAACACCAAAGCAGCACTCCAAAAAATAATCAAGAATAGTCAAGACCAATGATGGTGAACCTTCTAGTGCTTTCAATGATACAAACAGCCCACTGTAGCACACATGCCATATGTTCACCACCACTGGCCTAGTTGGAGACAATGAATCCAACAAAGTAAAAAAATCAGATGAAATAAATACATCAAGCAAGGCAAGTAGTTAAACAAAAAAAAAAAAAAAGAAAAAAAAATGAGTCATCAATAGAAAAATGCAATTACAGGATTAAATCAATGCCTTTTAGTAATGACTCTCAATTTAAATGGCCTCAGCTCCCCAATTAATAAACAGATTGGCCGACTGAATCAAAAAACAAAATGCAATAGTCTGTTGCATTCAAGAAGCTCATCTAATCCAAAAAGAAATTTATAGGCTAAAAGTCAAAGGACTGAAAACAATATTCCATGCACCAGGACCCCAAAAGCAAGCAACAGTAGCAATTGTACTCTTGCAGAAAGTAAACTTCAAACTGAAACTGATCAGAAGAGGCAAAATAGTTCACCACATATTTGCTAATGGAGCAACCTAATAGGAAGAGATAACAGTTGTAAATATATATGCATCAAATATTGGAGCACTTAACTTCATATAACAAATACTGCTGGTCATGAAAGATCAAATAAACATTAACACAATCATAGTGAGTGGCCTGAATACCTTACTTTCACAATGGGACAGATCAACTGAACAAAAAAATCAACAAAGAAATATCAGGGCTGAACCAGAGCTGATCCTTTGAACAAATGGATTAATAGCTACAGAGAGGTCTACCCTACTACAATAGAATACATATTCTTCGCAGCATCATGTGGAACTTTCTCCAAGACAGACCACATACTATTTCACAAAGCTTGATTACATAAATTCAAAATAATCAAAATCACCCCATGTGTACTATCAGATTATTATGTAATGAAACTAGAAATCAATCACCAAAGAAACCACAGAAAATTTATAAACACCTGGAAACTCAATAATACAGTCTGGGACACACAATGGGTAGCAGAAGAAATCAAGGAAGAAATTAAATAATTTTTGGAATCAAACAACAATGCCAATACAACATACCAAAACCTATGAGAAACAATGAATGCAGTTATAAGAGGAAAATTTATTGCAGTCAATGCTCACATTAGAAAATCTAGCTAATTTTTTTTTTTTGGTACCGGGGATTGAACTTGAGATCTTGTGCTTGTGAGGCAGGTGGCAGAACCACTGAGCTAAATCCCCGGCTCTAGAAAATCTGAATGAGCTCAAGTAAATAACCTAATGATGAACCTCAAGATACTCGAACAAAAGTCTAGACCCAATCTTAGTTTAAGGGGGCAAAATCATAACGATCAGAGCAGAAATTAATAAAATTGAGACTAAAAAAATACAAAGAATCAATGAATTGAGAGCTGGTTCTTTGAAAGAATAAGGAAAATAGATAAACCCTTAGTTAAACTGTTATGGTTTGTATCTAGATGTCCCTCCCAAAGCCTCATGTATTCATGGGGGGGCTTTGTGGAGGTGGCTGGATTTAGGGTGTGTGAATATGGATTAGGGGTGTGTGATATCTGGATTAGTCCCCTAGTTGGATTAGCATGGTTCTGGGTGTGGCTGAATGGATTTACCGAAGAGGGAAGCCCCACTTTGGGTGTAGGTGGCTCCAGTAAATATGCTTGTAGCCTGGGTGAAATATAAAGAGACAGGAAGAAGGCAGGCTTGCTGCTTCCTCTCTACCCTTCTACAGACTGTTTCTCCTCAGCCATGTCCCTCTGCCCTGCTGCCCTGCCTTGGAACCCGCTGACTATGGACTGAAACCTCTACAAACTGTGAGCTAAAAATAAATCTTTCCTTGTTTAACCTTGAATGTCAGGTATTTTATCTCAGCAATAAGAAAAGTAACTAAGCCATGAATTTAACAAAAGAAGGAGAGATAAGACTCACATCAATGAAATCAGAAAAGAAAAATGTGAAATCACAATTGACACTGTCAAAATCCTGAAGATTGTTAGTAATTACTATGAAAAAATGTACTCAAGAAATTGGAGACTCTTGAAGAAATGAATAAATTGCTAGACCAATAAATTA